TGCACTTTTCTTCCTCCTTTTTTTCAATCAGTGCAAAATTTTTTAAAAAAAAAAAAAAGGAACAGATATCAATGTTAGCCATTGTTTTAATATACGTTGTAATGTGTATTTGTGTATGTATCGTTAAAATTCTTTCCTTTCTTTTTACTTGTTGTGATATTATCCTAAAACAAATTCCTTTCCTTTCCTTCTTTCCTTCCTTCGTTTTTTTTTTCCCAACGATCAAGCGAAATGTTAATATCAATCATTGTTATCATTATTATTATCATTATCATTATCATCGTTAGCATTATTTTGTCGTTTTTTTTCTTCTCTCTCTCAAATATTTTATTTAATTTACAGCATGGATTGTTTACCGGGCGTTTAAATATTTGTTATCAATCGATATACTATAAATATATCTATACATATATATATATATATATATATTTATATATAAATATACATATCCATATATGGCATATTTGGCCATATGCTACGACAACCTCAATAATAGGAGGATAAATTTAAAAGCACTGGAAGGATTAGCATGTTCAACTGGTCATTGTCCATTTCGTCTGCAACATTAAAATCTGTCAAATCGTATGTTTATCATTTATTTTTAATTTTAATAATAATTTTTTAATGAATATTAATAACATTAATGATTTTAATGTTTTTAATGAATATTAATGATAATTTTATTGTGAATTAAAATAAGCTTAATTACATAGTTTATCGTAATAATAAACTATTACATAGCTTAATCATATAATTTATAATTATTGCTATAAGTTATATATGAATAAATTAGTTTTCCTATGCAATTAATCGTTAATCAATCATAACATTAATTAATTAATTAATTATGTTACTATATATGAATAAACCATTTTTCCTATGCAGTTAATCGTTGATCAGTTGTAACATTAATTAATTAATTAATTATGATCTTTAGTTATTATTGTTATTAACAGTACATATACTTGTACAATTAACAAATTCACTGTTAAATTAAAATAAAAATTAAAACTTCTGCATAATTTTCATATAATTAGTATTATTATAATTAGTATTATAATTAGTATGATTTTCACATAATTAGTATTAACTCTATGCAATATTTGGAATATTCAAAATAAACAAATTTCTCTTTCTCTCTTAATATTTGACAATTTTTCGAATTATAGATTGTCACCATCAACATCATCATCATTTAGTCGAACATTTGTTGAGAATATTACCCGTTCTCCGTTCTATCATTCATTCACATCACTTGATAAAACAAAATTATGGAGTAAATTTTATGTTAATGATGAAGAAAATATTCAAGTAATGCATTTCATTTTGTTCTTTTTAATTTCTTTTACTAAAAAAAAAAAATTTTTTTCTTGTGTGAACTTATAAGGAAAAAATCTTTTTTTTTTTAAAAAAAAAGCATTTTTCAAAATTTTCTCCTTAATTGTTTAATTTTATATTACAATAATTACACTGATATGATCAATGATAGATATGCATTATTTACAGAAAGTATTGAATGCAGTATCAGTTGATCAAAAAGTAATCACAAATCCTCATTCAAATCGACGACGACGTACAGTGATTGTTACGCGTAATAATGATGAACCATTTGGTTTTACCATTCAGGTGACAAAAAAAAAAAGGATTATATTTACATAAGTCAAATAAAGAATGAATTAAATGAAACATGACAATAGGATAGATTAAAAAAAATAAATTACTTTTCAAATAACTAAAATTTTTTTTTCGCATACTTAAATGAAGTTTTTTTTTAAATTGATTTTTAATTTCTTTTTTTGTTTTTACTTTGTAGACATATTTGTTGAAACGTAATGATGATGATGTACCATCAAAAGTAACTTATGTAGATTACGTCCAACTTGATAGTCCAGCTGCTGATGCTGGTATTCGTGCAGGTATCTTTTTTTTTTTTTTTTCTAAATTAAATTACAAAGAGATTTTGATTAATAATTTACTAAACAAATATATAGATTAATAAAGCAACAATATGAAATTTATTATTTAATTAAATTATAGGTGATGTGATCATTTCAATAAATGGCCATATTGTGACAGGAATGAGTCATGAAGAATTGATCAAATTAATTAGCTCATATCATCAGATGAGAATGATTGTCATTTTTGAAAATATTCGACAACGTATTGAATTAGTTGCTCGAGCAATTAAGCTTCGAAAAATTCTAAATGATAAATTATATCAATTGAATTTAATTGATATTGAAGAACAAAAAATTTTAAACAGTTTGTTTTCTTCCTTTTTTTTTCTCTCTCTCTTCTCCAACTATCAATTTATAATTAAAATATTTCAACGGGAATGAAAAAAAAATGTCAATGAATTCAATTCTTCGCAATTTTTTCTTTTTTTTTTGAAAATTTATTTGTAATAATTATTTGAATTGGTCATATTTTATATTTCCCATTTATGCAATTAAAAAGAATTAAAAAATTATTGATTACTTCATTTTATTTTTGTGAAATGTTTAATTTTTTTTTCAGAAGCCTATTTACGTTCATTATCAATGAACAAGACAAAATATTTACTAACAAATTCGTTATCATCAGCTGGAACATCGTCCACTTCATCTGTTAGTTCAGCACCATCGAATATTGGTGGAATCTCGAATGATATCGAGAGAAGTATTATTCAAATCCCGACAGTTATATCATTAAATGATGGAGTAATTGAAATCAATAGATATCCGTTAAGGAGACGAACATTGGAAAGATCAAATCTTCAGCAAATTTCCAATCCTAAACAGTTGACGAATTTACAATCAGATTCTAATCATTCAAAGATTACCAATACTGATATGGAATTCTTGACAGTTCAACGAATTTGCTGTTGTGAATCTGATTTGGAATATGTTGATCATTTCAGTTCAACATCATGTGATACAAGACAAATTGTTGATTCTTTTGATTGTTTTAATAATTCCCATAATGATGATACCGGTAATGTTAGTAGCAATAGTTGTATTGCTGTTGAAAATGATGATAGTGATAATGATGGTGATAGTGGTAGTAATTGTGATAATGGTACTGCTGTCGGTGATGATTATGCTAGCATTAGGGATGATGTTGATAATGATGAGATTAATGTCTTTGATCCTGTTGTATTATCGGATAGTCTAAAAACAACAACGATATCAATTCCAATATCAAAATCAGTGTTCGATTCTATAGCCTTGAATCATGTGATTATGTTGGATGATGATGTTATCAGTGATGAGGATGACAGTGATAATGATAAAATAAGGGTTTTCAAATTATAGGTGAAGTTTGATTTGGTTGCTAAAATGTGAAATATACTAAATTTTTCATGTTAATTCTCCTAAAAATTATTCATCAAATGTTTATAGAATTATGCAAATTATGAAAACAATGAGAAGATACCAATTATCATTCATCCTACCTCATTACAAACCATATCATTTTACTTTTATTTTCCATAAATTCATTTAATCTCATTCATTTAACATTTACCTAATATTTTCATAGCAATCATATAAATAAAATTAGTAAAATTTGCATAATTTTCAACTTTATAATTTGCATTATTCCCGAAATTCTAATATTTCATAATTAATTTACAATTTCTTATCAACTGATAAGATACAGCTCTTTTTTCCTTTTTTTTTCCTCTTTATATCATTTATTTTTGTATTACTAGTTTCTTTTCTCTTTTGCAAATTCAATGTAAATTATAGAAATTTTCAAGAATTCAAAAATATTAATTTTCAAGGATTTTAAAACTTTACAAAGTATATTTTATTTTTACCTATCGATTATTCATGTATATTTTTGTGATTCAGATTTCTCATGTCGGAAATGATTGTAAATGATAAAGTTTGAAAATTAGCATATTAAATTTGTAAAAATTTATAAATAAATTTGAAAATTTCCCGCAGCAAATATATTTTAATTCCGGAAAGATGAAAATATTGTAAGAGCAAAAGAATGGCACTTCCTTGTTTTCGTTCATATTATTCCGGTTAGATAGAAATCCTTTGCATATGCTTTTCCGGAATCGAAAAAATTGGAATAGCTAATTCGAAGTTATTCCTTTGTTACTTTTTCAAGTTGCTTCTTAAAGTTACTTCTGCACTTTTCATTACCCAAATCGTTTGTTTGTTTATATTTTTCAAGTTTAATAATATTTTGAGTTTACAACTTTTCTATTAAAATTTTTTTCTTTTGCCGTAAATTTTTCCGTACAATAAATTTTCTTTTTTTTTTCCAAATCGTAATTTGATAATTTTCTTCCAACATCTATGAATGTCACAGTAGTTCTGCTACGTGTAAATTGTAATTTCAATCCGAGGTCATTTTATCCTTTCCGTTCAACTTCAGTTTGTCCTTCAATTGTCACATCAATGATAATGAATGTGACGAAATCACTCAAATTTTACCCAATTTTACATTCAAGCTAAATTAGCATTTGCTTTTTTTCCTGTAAAATTTGGGAATTTTGTTTTTTAATATTTATCGAATAGTTTACATTTGTAGTAAATATGAAATAATTAATGACGTATTAAGATACAGTAATCAGGATTATCCGTTAAATACTTCTAGCATTACTGATTATCATATCAGTTTTCAATTTTTTTTTTTACTTACCCGTTCATCTGTGATATTTTACTTCTTACCGGTATAAATTAAACCTAACATTGAAAAGGTCCTTTAACCTTTTTTTTTTAGAGTATGAGACATTATTTAATTAAATAATTAATTTCGCACTCTTAATCATAAAATATTGATATTTATTACTATTATCTATTTATTTCCTTGACTTTACACAAAAACAGTGATGTAAAATGAAGGACAAATTTTTCAAATGCAATAGAAATAAAAAATAATTTCATTTTAAATTTAATTAAATTATGAAATTCTCTATATTTTATTTAAAAAATGGATGTTGTTGTTGCTATTGTTATTGTTAGTTTCCTTGTGTTTTTGTTATTAATTACAAATGGGTGAGTTCAAAGGTCATAGCGGAATAATAACATTGCCAATGAATGAAATATCAATTGATCTTTAATCGATTTGTCGAATGATATTCATTAAAATACACATCGAGAATGAATTTCCATTTTATATTTATAATTTATCAAACTGATTTTTCATTCCGTCCCTCGTTTATTTTTGCACCTAACTCATTAATAAATCCGTTTTTCCGTTCTCCATCCCAGCCACTTTCCGTTTTTCATTTCCTCCACATTTTATTCTTAATGAAATGAAATGAAAGAAAAGGAAAACAAGAAAAATTACATATTAAATTTATTCATAAAAATGATACGGAAATGGAAAAGTTGCAATAAATATATAATAAAAATTAAAACAGATGAATTTGATTTTAATTTCAATTTAAAATTATTGAAAGTGAAATTTTAAGCAAAAGAATTTGATTTCAATTTTGATTTAAAATTGTAGAAAGTGAGAAAAATAATTAGAAAGATTAGAAGATAAGATATACATATCATTTGATTATCAATCTTTTCGACATCTATTTATATCATGAATTCTTAATATGTCAAATTAATTATAAATATTAAAAAAAAATAAGACAAAATAAAAAAATAAGACAAAATAAAAAAATATATTTTTGATATTTTTTAAATCTTGTTAGCATAGAATTTCTTTTTTTTCTTTTTTTTTGTATAATAAGGGGAGAATTTTATTTTAGAACTAACAATTTCATATAATTGCGATTCCGATTAAATTTAATTTTATTTCCCGAAAATTAACTTCATTTTCAAATCAATTTTAAATTAAAAATTGACTTTATTAAATGAAAAATTGATTTCTTAATTTTAAATAATTATCTATTCGATTTCAATTTTATTTTGATCCTGTTTTCGTGTTAAATTGAAAACTTTCTTCTTTTCCTTTTATCATTTTATGTTTGAATCATTTGTTCGGGTTTTTTTTTCTTGTCACTTTAAAAGACTCTGAAAGAATAGCTTTCTTTATTTGAAATCCTCCGTTAGGTAAATTCATCAGGTGTAATATCGTTAACAAATAATGTCCCATATTCCGGTAGTATATACAGCGATTTTTTTTTTCTTACTAAAAATCTTTTGAAATTCGTAAACATTTATTTATTCCATTAAAATATTATAAATAATGACGCATTGATTTATACTATCCAAGGAGAGTATTTGTTACTTCTGAGATTAGATTAAAACCCGTTGAACCTGATGTATTGCTACAATTTGCTACTGTTTCATCGTTATCAGCTGTTATCACTTCCATTGATTGAGTGTAATCATTGATAGTTGTATTAAAAGCCTGCAAAAAGTTTTTATCAAAAATTCATCAAATTATTTTTTCTTTCCTTTCTTTTTTTCAAATTATTTAATTATTTATTTTATGGAAAAAAAGAAAGTTTTTTTCCATTCAACAAAAGTTTAGCCATTATTTTATTTAAGATTAAAGTTTTCCTTTTCCATTAATTCAATTTTTTTTCCTCTGATAATTACTGAGGAAAAAAAATTATGCAATAATTGTATATTTAGGAAACTTAATGTAATATTAAATTATTAAAATTTATAATTACCAACAAATTATGTTAATTTCGAATCAAATTTACATAAAATAAAATTTATCTTAGAAAAATCATTTCAGAAATTTTACATTTGTTGTTGAATGTTGTGGCATATCAAATAATAGGGATGGTTTGAACATCGAATTCGCAGGTTGTACCACACCTGATGGTTGTAATAATTCTGATGACGATAGCAACAATTGAGCTGGTGTTGGCGTATAAGTAGAATCTAAATTTAATTAAGAAAAAAAGAAAAAAAAAGAAGATAGAATCTAAATAAAAAAAGAAAAAAAAAGAAGATAGAATCTAAATTTAATTAAGTTGTATATTTTTCAAATTTAAATTTAAAAAAAATTCTTGCAATGAATTAATTAAAATTATCAATTAACAATTTTTTTTTTCAACAATCAGGATGGTTTGTATCAGGAAAGTATAAGTAAATCTGACTTATAACTATTTTTTATTGCTAACTATTCATTATTTTTAACAATTCAAAATATTCTTTACTTGCATGTCTTAAATGAAACCAATAATTCGAGATTTCATTAGAATAAGCTAATTTTTTTTTTGCTTAATCAGGATGAATGAAATTTTTCTCGGGAGCTAACTAATCCTCTATCTGAGAGAAATAAAATTAACCTGTAGAAGCTAAATTATTGGTAGTAAATAATGTTGGATATTCCATATGATTTCTTACAGGTATTAAATTATTTTGATCCATTTGAGATTGATAAAATCCATTCGAAATTACTGTAGCATAACCTAACAGAAAAAAGAAAAAAAAGGTAATTGGAGTTTTTTGTTTTCATTCTTTGATCTATTTCGAAAAAAAAATGGTAATGATAATAGATTATAAGATTTGTTAATGAATAATCATTGGATAATTATTTGAGGAATCTTTTTTTTCTTTCTAGATGAGTCATCACTTTGAAAAGTTTTTGATATAAATGAGATATGAATTGTAAAATCCGGTAAAATCCGGTCTAAACTTTATTGTGAATTATCCGGTTTCAACCATTTCATCATTGTAATTTTGTTTAAACAAAAGAAAAAAAGAGAAAAAAATTGCATGATAATGATCCTTGTACTAGCAATTTAATAACAAATCATTGGCGTAATGATTAATTAGGATGCAAATTACTTCAGCTGATAATATCTTTCTTTTTTGATCGATTAACTAACCAGCATTATTAGTCATAGAATTTTGATAATGCAAGTCCGATGATGATAACGATGATGACCAATAGTTTGCTTTTGTTGATGATGACCACTGATAATTTTGATCATGTCGTACTGTATCGGTATTATTATCCGAGGAAAAATATGCTGTTAATCCCGAAAAACCAGTTAAATCCTAAAAATGATATAATTGGTTATTATCAGTAATGTGTTATAACATGAATAATTAGAAAGGATAATTAAGAGGAAAAAAAAAAACCGTAAATTTGCTAATACCTGAGATAATTGAAATAATCCCGGAATCATTGATGTATTGGTACCTGATACACCATGAACAACTGTAGCAGCGGTAGTGGTAAAATTTTCATTTTGAGTTATCCGCGGTATCTCAGGAGCGCCCATACAAGCAGTAGCTGCAGTTTGTTGTTGTCGTTCATCTTGCATCTAAACTAGCAAAAATTTTAAAATGCAAAAAAGAGAAGTTCGAGAATTGCAAATAAAAACGAAGTATTCAAAATTCAGGATAAAATTGGAATTAAAAAATTTGCAAAAAAAAGGAAAATGGTAAAAACGAATAAATTTTGTTTAAAATTTCAAAAATAAATTTTAAAATAGCTAAAAAAAATGTAAAATTACATTTGCATTTTACCTCTACTACTTTCGAATTGTTACTTGTACATGGCATTATAAAGGTTGAATATTGTGGTACTGATAAGATAGATGATGATGATGATTGATTAACATTAATGTCATTGTTTTGTTTTTTACGTTTACGTCCACGTGTTGATAAATGTTCCTCATGTTGAATTTCGGCTGTTATTATCGATGCTTGTGCTGATAAATTCCGATTTATCGGTAATGATAATGGTTGTTTTAATCTAAAAAAAAAACCCTTTTCTTTTTTCTTTCATTAAAAAATTTCTTATAAATTTTCAGGAAATAATATCCGGTTGAGAGTTTGTTATTATTATTAGCTAATTAAAAAGGTTATTCTTTTTTACGGATAATCATAAATTACAAATAATACATTGATTATCTCTCTTTTCAGCATTTTAATATAAGTAAAGAGAAAAACTATAAGGTGTCAAAATTTAATTTGTTTACTTTATTTTTCTTTTTTTTTCTCAAATGATTCTCCTTATCTATCCGAAAAAGTAAATTACAGTGAATGAAATGCAAGCTAATAATTAAAAGATATGAAGCAAGCAAAAGTGTCAACATCTATGATATTGTTGTATTTCAATAAACAAAAGTAAATGAAATAAAAAAAATGATTTTTACCTTGTTGGTAATGTAGAAAATTGTGTATTTTGTCGTTTTGAGGTTGAATAACGATCCTTTTCTGAACCAGTCATATAAAGCGACAATGATGTGACATCTCAAAAGAAAAACGCAAAAACTTTTTCATTTCCTATCTATACAAAGAAATATTTCAAATGAATCCAAACGAAAAATTAAACCGCAAAATGGGGAAAAAAAGGTTGCATCGGCCGGGAATCGAACCCGGGCCGCCCGCGTGGCAGGCGAGCATTCTACCACTGAACCACCGATGCCTCTGTACTGTCACCAACAATAATCAGTTGTCATTGATTAAATCTTCAATTTTAATTAATAAATTCTTAATTTTGGTTAATAATTTTACTTGTCTTTACCGCAGGATATTGATGGTAATGCTGCGGTGGATTGTAAATTTCCAGGTGATTGTAGCAGTGAATCATCATAAGATAATAATTTAGCTCTTAATGATGTTCGCTTTTCAAGTAACATCATTCCTTCAACTTCTCTAAAAAAAGAAGCAAAAAAATATTTTATTATAAGAAATTTGCTAGTAATTAAATCGTAAAACTTTTAAAAATTTAAAAATAATTCCAAAAATAAAATTTACAAATGACAAATATTTTAGATTTTGTAGCAAATATATTTTATCTCTTAGCTAATTTTAATATAAATATAATTAATCATATATATATATGTATATACATATATATATGATTAATTATATTTATATTAATATATAGGTGTATATATATATATATATATTTTCATTTGATGCAGTTCAAGCATTGAATTTTAATTATTTAAAGTTTTTGTAAAGTGTTTTGTATATATATATA